CGCCAAGATCGGGGCGCGTTGAAGGTTGGTTTTGAGGCCGTCGAAGGCCGCTTGACAGGCGGAGTCCGAAACCCAAGGGGCGTCCTTGAGGAGAAGCCGAAACAACGGCTGGGCGATGTCCGCAAAGTTGTGCGAGTATTTGTGCAGGTACGTCGCAAGGCCCAGCCAGCGACGAAGATCTTTGACCGAGGAGGGGATAGGCCACTCCGAAATGGCCTTGATCTTATCGGGGTCAGCCCGACATCTGTTCACCCCCACTAAATCCCCCAGGACCGGGATTTCGTCAACACCAAACATACATTTGGCGAGGTTGGCATAGAGTCCGTTGGCACGGAGGACTTCAAGCACCTTGCGGAGGTGGCCGCGGTGAACGTCGAGATCAGATTGCGTGGAGGACGCGCAACTGTGAACATAAATGTCGTCGAAGTATGACGGTGCGAAGTCGCGAAACGCGCGAAACTTCGCGGTAACCATACGATTGAACGTTACTGGGGCGTTGGACAGACCCTGTGGCATGACCAGGCACTCCCATAACATGCCACTCGGCGTAGAAACCGCCGTTTTAGGGACGTCACATAGACGCATCAGGATCTGGTAAAAGCCATCGCGAAGGTCGATGGTGGAGAAAATGGTGGATTGACCCATGCCGTCGATAATAACGTCCTTCCGAGGAATCGGCGTCTGAGCCGGAATCGTGGCTGCGTGCAATTTGTTAAAGGCGTGTACAATACGCCATTTCCCCCCGGGCTTTTTCACACAGAAGGTCGGGCTGCTATGAGGGGAAATGCTCTCGCGGACTTGACCCGCAGCCTTGCGGGCCGCGAAGAATGCGTCGATGGCATCGACTTGGTCGCGAGGAAACGGCCATTGCCGCGTTACACAATACTTTGCGCCTGGCACGAGGTCGATCTCGTGTTGAACGCCCTTGTCGACCGGGAGGCGACACGGTACCTCGGTGGGGAAGACGTCCTCAAATTCTTGGAGGAGGTCGAAGTAGGGGTTCGATCGAAGGGAGTCCCACGTCTGGGACTTCAAAGGAGCCGCGAGGACTGAGTCATCAGCGGTCGAGGTCGAAAAGAGATCCATCTCTTTCGACTGTGATCATCGCCAAGGCGGCAATATCGTGGGCGCGGAGAGATTCCACGAGCGAGTGGAAGCTCATCTCTGGCAGTGCCAGGATCTCGGAAGACGTCCGAGGGAGTTTGTGCAAGGTACACGTTTCTTCGATAAACGTGGTTGCCAAGGTCGAGGCAACTATCGGGAGCGGTAACGTAGCCTCACCGATAACAACAGAGGGCGACTCTGTTGGGGGCACGAAAAGGGTGTTGTGCAACACCGTGGTTG